ACACACACACACACGCACACACACACACACACACACACACACACCAAATTCCTCCTGGGATCTCTGTGCCTCACCGAAAAACATGACTTGCAATTTGCCATCAAGCAGAACTCGCCGGCGAAGTTTGACCACAGTTGTGCATTCTCAGCAAAGAGAGGGTTTCAGTCTTACAAGAACACTGCAGTCTTGCTAGAAGCAACTCCAGCATCTGGTTTGTGTATCATGATTCTTGGAATCTAGTTGCTTGTTGACTAATCACAACCTCGTCTCTCCCTTGATTTGCTGTTGTAATTTTGACTTAACTTTGGACTGTAATTGCCTTGCCCAATTAAGTTCTTATCAACAATTAACTGCTGTTTCCTTGCTGTGGGGATTTGCAAAAACAAGTCTTCCCCTTAGCACATCGAGTGTCTGGCTTTTGAAAGGGTGCTAAAAAAAAAGGTGGACAGTTTCCCATGAGTCACATGCACATTCTTGCATGGCAGCAGAGGAAATCCAATCACTGCTCCACCACTTTGAAGATGATGAGTGCTAGAATTGTTGCAGCAGGAAGGTTGGCAATTGGAATGTGCTGGTTCTCCCATAGAAAAAGAACATGTAGCATTGTGGTGAGGAGCAGGTGTGCAGTCAGATGTTGGTGCAAGTATTTGATCTACCCAAGTTTTTGCAGCTGCCTGGACATTGACCTCTTGCATTTGCAGCCAAAGTTGCCTGTTCAGGCAACTACCAGGTTCACCTATTGAATTATCAGCCAGTCTACCTGCTGGACTGTTGGACCTTAGTTTTTGACCTGCAATGGAGACTGGATACATAAGATCATAGTGCCAATAGTGTGGCAGCTTCTAACTCCCTTGGGATTGGAGACTAGCAAGGAGAAGAAGAAATGTATGTGTGGGATGTAATGAGATAAGCTGTGAAGCCTACAACAGTCAGAAATGCATTGTAGCTATTGAGTACAGGAGACAAAAACAGCTCAAGGATACTACTGACTGATGGCTAAGTTATTTGACTGGTTGGTTACATCTGATGGAACCTGGGAAAGGGATCTGAAGGTGTAGGACATTACCATCAATCTTTTTGGTTGCTTTTCAACTCACCCTTACTTTTTGGTTGCTTTTCAACTCACCCTCCCAGGCAACCAATGGACCTGGATGGATTTTAGAGGAATTTGATTTCTTCCCTGGGGAACTGGTGAGAAGTTTTACCAAGGCCTTAGTCACCACCTAGAATGGATGGATGTCAGTTACCTTAGGTTAGATAATTTGTGTGTGGTTTCTCCATGTTCATTGATCTTGGAGGTTTCATTGAAGTTCTGGAGGTAAAAACACAGAAGAATCTCCTAGGAGAAAGACAAAGTTTGAATGATGAGCCCAAATTAGGGATTACATCATAAGTGATAAGAGGGGTAAAATGTCTTTTCTTCCTCTCATCAACCTTTGAAAAACAACCCATTCCTTGCTGGGGAAGAAAGACAAGGAATGCTGTGAGAAGTACTTTAGGCCTATTACAGAGAAAGTTACTTAGATTCACTCAGAACTAGATTCCAACTGGGCAACTAATGAATGAGATGATCTTGTCCTGTTACCTGGCAAGCCTTGGCTCTTGTAAATACAGGGTCATTGAGACTGTTGACATGGACACCTGTCTTTTAGACCCTTCTTGTCCCTGGCTTGTGAAGGCACATTGTGTTGCAGTGATTCTCCTTTCTCTACAGCCAGTTCCAGATTGGAGTAGATGTGAAAGAGAGTTTTGAGCCCGAGTTCCTGGATCTCAACCCTCCTGTTTAAAATCTATATGAAGCCACCGGGTGTCATATTCATTGATGTGGTGTGTGTGTGGTACCATGAGTATGCTAATGACACCCTGCCAGTCATCTCGATCTCAAGTCAATTAAGCCATGCTGTTGTTGAGATCTAAAAGGAAGGAACAGATATATGCTTAATCCAATTTGCATATTACACAGAATTAGGTAGTCTTATAAATTTAAATAATCAATTATAATTAGAACTTGCAGAAGTCTCACCCAAAGGCCTGATAAATGGAGAAGCCTAATACAAGCAAATCCAATGCATCTAGAAGGAAGGGGTGGCTGCTCTGGATCATAGGTGTACATTGTGTGTATGTGTGTGTGGTGGGCTGACATTTTCTTTATGGGTTGTTTTCTCTTCCTTTGTCTCAGGTTCCACTCAAGTGGAGAACATCCAGCCATTAACGGCAAAGCAATTGTCCATTCGTTCACTGGCTGACTGCGTTCTCGATCTCGCACAGCTCCATATGCTTTATCCTAACAGGCCCAAACACGAGGCTTTCAGGAGAGACTACAACAGTGAGTGATGGGGAGAAGGGCAGAGGAGAACATACAGTTAGAAGGAGGCTCAATATTTTACAAGGCTGCCTTTACCCAAGTGAGCTCTTCCTCTCCTGTTCCCGAGAGTCAGGGGCAGAATTTAACATTTGCTGGAATATATCTGGTTGAACGTCAAGCTGGAAGCAGGAGGCTTGATGGAAACAAGATCTAGAGGAATTCCCTTATTGAAATTATTGATTCCTTTTAAAAATTCTCTTACATCCAAAAGGAAATTTTCTGCCAATATACAGCAAAATCAGAAATGTAACATCATTAGAGCAGTACAAACTGAAAAATAACGAAGTAAAATGGCAAGGCATAATACTTTTTCAATTAGATAAGGAAATTTAATTTACATTCAGAATTCCCAAGGAAAAAGCTGAAAAGAACAAAACTGGCACCAAGAATATTCCTCTAAGAAGTTATTCCAAAATTGTTTTGCCACTATAAAGAAGTGCCTCTGTTTTAAAGACTGTAAATCTCTTTTTTGTGTACATAGTCCAATAGCAAGAGGGCCTTTGTTGATTAACTTTCTTTGTATGTGTTTCTTCCCCCGCCTTGAATTTATATTTGTTCAGATGGGTGTAGTGAGGAACAAGATTAAGCTATGTTTGAAAAACAGAGGAACAAAATTAAAGTCAGGGAGGGAAAAATAGATTCTGTACAGATTCTAAAGGACAGGATATAATCTGGTGTATGTATATGTATATTTATTTATAATATAAATCTGATTATTTTATGCAAGGACAATATTTTATGTGTCCCACAATCAAAATAACTAGAAATGTTTAGGAAGTCAAATGCAATTTTGGTGACTGATCTACTATAATTGGAATTTAGCAGCTTAATATGCTCTTTGTGTAATGCTAGTCTTAGCTGAATAAAATTATTAAATGTGTATTTTGATAGAATATATATTATAATTCTGCCTGAAAATTTTGGCAAAGGTTCTTATAAATCACAAAATAAGTGTGATAACCTGGGACTTAGAATAAACACATATAAAATGGCATAGGGTTGATTTGCTTATCCATATCTGATTGCTCTCCCCAGTTCCGTTCTGCATTTAGAGCTAACTTTCAGCAAATCTGTGAGTTTTCACACATAAACTTGCATAGTTCAAGTAACAGTGACATGACACACAATCAAACAAAAGGTGTGTCTGCAGAGCTTTTGATATCAGAACAGGTTTTGCTGTACATCACTCAGAAAATATGAAGAGGCTTATTTCTATCGATGAACCAATCCTTTTTTTTTAATGACTCAGAACCTGCGTGGAGATTCTAAAGATAAGGTTGAGCAGGTCACAGGATAAGCTCCATCTAGTATTTTGATGGCAGCTCATAAGCTGAATTCCTGCCTGGATCATTTCCAGCATCCTTGTCTGAGAATTTCTGAGAGTCATTGAATACATCAAACCCCAAACAATTGATGCATCCCTATTGGGGACTCTACCTTTCCATAGTTGATAAGCTGGAAGACATCAGGCTGGGAACTGCTGCTATAGAGGGAAGCAAGTTCTGCTTTAGGGTTTCCTCTTGTTACAAAATTTCCTTGAAATTTCTTTCTGTATCAAAAATAGGAACCAATTTGTGCGGTTGAGAAGCTAAAATGTGTTTATGTTTCTTTCCACAGCAGACACACGAAAAAACACCAGCAGTTATGTCCCAGCCAGGTTAACGATAACTGTAGACACGTGAGTGTGTGAATTCTCTAACTTCTTTGCTCTTCTCTTAACACTTCCTAGGACTGGATATAAATATGTTGACCATCTTTTCCTAATTAACCTTTCCAGTAACAGACAGTAAATTCAGACCTATCTTAATGTAGCTTTACTGAAATGAAAGGAAGGTCTGAAAAGCACTTCGGTTAGATGGCACTTTCTTTTAGTATGTCCCTTTTGTCCTTAGAACATAAAATAACAATAGCAATAGCACTTGGACTCATATGCCACTTCACAGTGCTTTACAGCCCTCTCTAAGCATTTTACAGAGTCAGCATATGGGCTCCAACAATCTGGGTCCTCATTTTACCCACCCCGGAAGGATGGAAGGTTGAGTCAACCTTGAGCCTCGTGAGATTCGCTCTACCAAATTCCAGGCTGCCGGCAGTCAGCAGAAGTAGCTTGCAGTACTGCATTCTAACCACTGTGCCACTGCAGCTCTTCCAGCAAGGTTGGAAGGGACCCTGGAGGTCTTATAGTCCAAGCCCCTACTCAAGCAGGAGATCCTATACCATTCTGGATAAATGGTTGCCAATCTCTTCTTGGAAATCTCCTTCTGCTGGCAAGCTTTTTCTGACTAATTGTTCTTGCTGTCAGGGAATTTCTCCTTAGTTCTAGGTTGGATCTCTCTTTAATGATCTTCCACCTGTTATTTCTTGTCCTGCTTTGGAGAATAGGTTGACCCCCCCCCCTACGTGGCAGCCCCTCAAATATTGGAAGACTGCTATCATGTTGCCCCTAGTTGTTCAAATGGATATTCACACAAGCTGTGTTCAATTCCAGACCCTGCTCATTCCCTACAATTCAGAAACCAGTTGACACTCTGGCCGGCTCTAATGTGAATCTTGCAGTCCATTCTGATTCAACTTATCATAAGTAAGTATCAACTTACTGACTGATTGCAGAGAATCTTACCATTGCGTGTCTAGTATATAATGAACATGTATCTCTAAAGCAGTACCAAGAGGAATTACCTTCACATGGCCCCATTTTTTAATCCCCCAATCCTTCAAAAGTCACTGTTTCAGTGATCAGTTTCATTCCTTTTAATGTTGAAGGGGAATGGTGTGGAGGCCCAAACTTGAGCTATTCTCTGACATCAGATCAGAAGGGAAGAGAATAAATTGCTGTTTGTTCTCCAATCCCATCTATATTCTTAGTTTATCTTGTGTACATGTACCTGATTATATGAGGAGGTGGGGGGTGAGAGGAAAAGACAAGAAAATAGAACAGTTGTTCTGAAGAGAAGCTGCAATCTCAGGAAAAAGGTTGAGGCAAGATTTCTCACCAGTGGAAAATGATCCACCTACAAGTTCTGCGAAGCTGCTGCCTTCCAATGAAAAAGAACAATTTCATTTACTCTGATGTGAAACCACAAGGGGAAAAAAAAATATTTAGCTTCCAAGTAGAGCCAGTACTGTAGGGCCATGTCCAGAACAGTTTCTCAACTTCTGCAAAGAGATGTGGAGAAGAAAGAATAATAAAATGCAGCTATTTATAAAATGCTTCCAAGTAGGATTGACGTCAGCATCATCTTCCCTTTGATTTTATAAAAGAAGACTTGGGATGTGAAAGTACTGTGTTAGGTTTCTCTTTTGGTAGCGTTGACGTGTATCCTTGGCATGGTTTTGCTCAGAAGCAAAAATGCTGATTAATTCAGTCAATAGGTAAAGAGTAAGGAAGATGACAGAAAAATGCAGGAACCATTACTTAGATAAAAGAGGCTGAAACATTATTTTATGTCCAGAACAACTAAATCCCATTCTTCAGAAGCAACTCAGACAGACTTGAATATAAGAAGGAAGAGGAAGTACAACCCAATCAGACTTGAAAAACTCATATCAGCTCCTTTGGATAGATAAGATCAGGAAAGCTAAAACTACTTTGATTGAGATTGGCTATAAGTATATCTCATTCTGAACTTAAAGACATTTCTGCCTCTTCTATCTAGAACAGTGATGGCAAACCTTTTTGTTGTGGTGTGCCGAAAGTGCATGCATGCCGGCACCCACAATGCAATGTGCCCCGCTCCCCCACGCATGCGCGTGCAACATCCCCACCCTGCCCCCTTACCTGCACTGCACATGCGCATGCCTCCCAGCTTATTTTTGGCCTGTTTGAGGCTGTTTTTGCCCTCCTGGAGGCTTGAGGGAAGCTTCTGCAGCCTTGGGAGGTTGAAAAATGGGCCTTCCGGAAATACTGGGATGTGCCTGTTTTCAGCCTCCGGAGGGCCTCTGGAGCCTGGGGGAGGCCGTTTTTGCCCTCCTGGAGGCTCGATGGAAGCCTCTGGAGCCTCTGGGGGCTGAAAATGGGCCCATTTTGGCACTTCCAGAGGCTGTAAAGGCTTCCCTCGAGCCTCCAGGAGGGCGAAAACGGCCTCAAACAGGCCGAAAATCAGTTGGGAGGCGCGCGCATGCACAGTGCAGGTAAGTTTGGCTGGGGCTCTGCATGCCACCTGTGGCACACGTACCATAGGTTCACCATCACGGGTCTAAATGGCAGTTCCTGCGTATTTTTGTAAGATCATCTTCCTTACTTTGTATGCTAAGTCAGTATTATGGTATGGGGGAATATTGACTGGATTATCTGACCTCTTTTGTTAAAAGTAGGGTGAAAGTTCATGTTGGCTGTAATACGAATGAGAGCAAATGCCTCATTTCTCCCTCCTGTCCCCATTATTTTGACAAGGCCCTCCCTTTTGTGCAAAGATATGAATCTCCAATGCTGCATCGTTTTTTTAGGCTTCAGTGATCTTTGATATTGAAATAGAGCCAGTTTAGGCTAGTGCTTAAGCACTAGGTTAGAACCAGGAGAGAGTGAATTCTTTTCCCAATTTAGGCATGAAAGCCAGCTGGGTGACTTTGGGGCAGTCACTCTCTTTCAATGCAATCCACCTCACAGAGTTGTTGTGGGGAAAATAGGAGGAGGAAGGAGCATTAGTTATGTTAAATAATCCTGAGTTATTTAAAAATAGTAAAGGCAGATTATTATTATTATTATTATTATTATTATTATTATTATTATTATTAT